TTTGAGCACACTCTCGGGTTGACCTTTATTTAACACTGGTTCTAAAACCAGTGTAGTGGGTTCCTTCCTATTTTCTTATATTAGTTGTCTAATCTTTGCTTCAACTCCTGTCATCATAACCGGTTTAGGTATTGGTACGACTGCTAGCGCATGTCTATCCATATGCTGAGGCTGGGGTTCAGGCTCCTGGACTCCGATATCATTTCCTAATCCACTACGCGTCCTCACTGTGATGTTCTCTACATTGAAGTAGGCTTTCAATGTACCCAGACGAGAATATATTATGATAGGGAAGGTTTTATTCATGTTTAGACGCATAAGTCCTTCTTATCACTCCGAAACATTAAATGTCAGTTGTAATATAGTAATAATAATATTTTATGATATGGAAGGTTTTATTTAGGTTTCAGGTACATCTGGTTTCAAAATGAAGAGTCGGTTTGATCGCACTGCATCCCCTAAAGATTTTATTCTGTAATGATTGTTTATGATCTTACTCTGATGTTTTGAGAATACTTTTACTCTAATTATATTTTGGGATAATGAATGAACGGTTTTGACTTATTTAAAGAAAAAAATTTACTCGGTATTTTTGGGATGTTACAATTTGGTTTGAGGATTTGAGCACACTCTCGGGTATGTCTGAACTCAAAGTGAGGAGTTAACAAAATCTTTTCAAAGCAAATGAGTATTTCCAACAAGGTTTTTAAGAAAAGGGATGCGATGCATGAAATCAGCCGAGCTCAAGTAATTATTTCACAAAATACCCATACATGTGTTATGCTTATTATTTTGGTATGAGTATATGAGATTTTTAGCTAGATTAGAGCTAAGAATCTGCTCAAGATTTGCATGATACAATTCTAGGAGAGATGCCTTTATATTCCTGTTGATTGAGCTTTTGGAACTGCATGCTACTATGGATTTTTGATTGTTGGATATAATGGCCTAATTAAATGAGGCATTGGCTTAGATTACTCGATGCTCAAATGCTGCTTGCTTTGTGCTTTTAGGGACTTCCAATAATATTGGCTAACTGTAAAGTGAATATGTTAGGTTACATGTTGTAGGGATTAGATAATTTTAGAAGGTTAGGTTTAACTCTATTGCGCAACTCTCGTTTGAGTCCAACCTTTGTAATGTGAGACGTTGTAGTCGAAGAATTATCTAGTGCATGTGGCATCTAATTGTATTCGTGAGGTAGTTAGAAGGTATTAGAGGGAGTCTTTTCTGCAGCTAATGGCGGAGAGTGGAGTGAGGGTAACGCTAGGAAAGCCTAGGAAGAAGGTTAGAATATGCTTGTGTGAGCATTTTTAGAAGAGATATCCTAGAAGGAGAATCTAGTAAGATTAGCAGTGTGTACTCGATTGAAAGCGGGTATATGTTATTGGGTCGGTCGGTAGTAGACATGAGTAGTTACTTAGATGATCCGGAACGATTCTTGAGGAAAGTAAGGATATGGCTGGAAGGTAGTATTGGACCCATACTACTGAAAGCATAGAATTTGTACTCGAATCGAGGAAAGTTTTGGGCATTATAAAGAGCTGATTGAGGGTAGATTGTATGGTTTGGCTCCATGATTCATTGCAATGTGTTTCCGTCTTATTCAATTTATCGGTTAATTATGGTTGTTCAGACGGAGAATGGGACTAGTGATTGTTAGGGCCTTAGTGGCCATGTCAGTTAGGTTTAAATGGTGCAGACCTAGGCGAGTTAATTGATTTTGAGGTCTCGAGGTCCTTTCTCGAGGTAGTGCCAGTTGAGTTGCAAGATTCTAGAACGGAGCGATCGTGATGATCGGATCGAGGCTTGCAGACGGAGGTTAAGTGATTGGCAGATGGTTTGGGATGTCGCTATCTATGACAGGGGTCATGTTCTTCCAGCTTTCCGCGTTCGAAGGAAAAAGAGGGCAAACATGAGATTTTCAGAGTTGGGATGTAGACCTAGAATTGGGCTAGATGGTTGTGGTTTTTCGCGGCAAGTATGGCAGTGTGGGAATAACTTCTCATTAAGCCTTTAAAACTGAGTTTTCAATAAGAAGAAATTCTAACTTTTCAGAACTCATTTTAATTTTTTCGATTGTAGAAGACAAATTTCCTTTAAAACATGAATAAACTAAGACAAACATTTAAAAAAAAAAACTTATTGACTTATTGATTTCTTTATTGATTTCTCTCACCACATAAACTATTACAAATACTTTTTAAAAACTCATTTTTTCATCATCATAAATCAATAATTCTTTTTTGTGTTTAAAATTATTTTTAAGGTTCAAAATAAAATCACAAACACCCTCTTAATTGTTCTCACCCTAAACACGACATATTCTTCTCTCTCCCCTTAATCAATATTCCATTCATTGTCTCTCACAAAGAACCTCACAACTCTAGATATATTGTTCCTCTTGCTTGTAGTGCACAATCTTTATCCAACAAGTAATTTCTTCTATTCATGCCTATTTTTATCACAGGACTCGAAATTTCATTACTTTTTTCTTATACTATTGTTTATTGTTCTTGAAGCAAATTCTTGGTATGTTACATGTTTAGTTTATCTCATTCATCGTTGTGAAGTTATATTGAAATATCATTTGGAATTTTCAAGAATAGATGGAAGATAATGCCATAATTTAGTGGACAAACTCAAATCGACTTTATGATTCATTTTCTTTATATAACTATATTTGTGGTAACCAATGTTTTAAAAACCGGTTTTTTAGTTGAACCGGTATGGAGACCGGTTTCCGGTTTAACCGGTTCGACCGCTGAGTAAACCGGTTTCTATAATTTTCATCTTTTTTCGTATTTTCGTACACATACCCACATACACAAATCAATAATATGAAGTTCATAAGTTCAAACATTAAAATACACATGAAAACAAGTTGTAGATCATTCTAAAAATATTAAAATAACTCATAACCATAAGTTTTATATCAATCTACGTGCATTAAAAAGAAAATAAAGTCGTAAATGAATATAAATGCATCAAAAAACTTCATAACATTTATCATGTGTTTTTATTCAGAAAAATTTTAATAAATGTGAAAAAACTACTAAAGTTTATTATGCAAAAGGTTTCAATTTCATGTGTTTTTATTCGGTTTAACCGGTTCGACCGGTTTAATTAAACCGGTTCAACCGGATCTTTGTAAAAACCGGCCGGTTCGATCCGGTTCAGAAATAAACATAAAACCGGTGATAGTTGAACCGTTCCCTTCCCCGATTCCAGGTCCAACCGGTTCGACCGGCCGGTTTAAACCAGTTTTTAAAACATTGGTGGTAACTTTAAGAATGACATTTTTTTTTTCAATTTTGTTGAACATTCAGATTTCATACCACATGATCAAGTTTGTGATGTGTGTAGTAATGACACAGGTAACGAATCTAATAACATGATAATAATATTGCTCCTTTAATATTGAATAGTTCGGCGTTGATGATTTAATAACTAGAGTTTTATGTTGTCATATTACTTTTGATTTTGTAATGGAACACAATGATGCAAAATTTCTTAGTTTAAAAAAAATATTTTAGTCAATAAATTATTATTATTATATTTATATTTTATATTTACAAAGATGTATTTTTACGTAGATTTACATGTTTAAAAGTATCCATCTACAAATACAGAACACGCATATATAAAAAAAACTACAACTTCCAACTACCAACTAACAGTTTTGAGGTAGTATTTCCGAACACTTCCTTATTCACTTATTAGTGAATAATGACATTTTTTTAAAAACTAGTTATAAATTGTTAGTTGGTAGCTGGTAGCTCATAGTTGGAAGCTTTTTTTTTTTGTTTTTTTTGTTTTTTTTTTTTTTTTTTTGCATATGTGTTAGACAAAATTAATTAGAATCTTTTAAAAATATAAAATTAAATAAACATACGACAGATTTATGTGGAAAACACATGTTTCTAATAGTGTGATAATGTAATTATAATTGTTTATTTGTGAAATCAGTATAAAATATGGCCAATTTATGTAGAAAATCATTTAAGGGTTTGCTTTTCCTTGATCTATCATATATTTCAACAATAGGGTGTGAATATTGGACAAAAAATGTATGCAAAAACTTTTCAAAAACAATAATAGAATGCGAACGTGACCAATTGTATAAACGATGAGATATGCTATTAACCTCTAAATTCTTTAATATTGTTTTTATCGAATTTCATTGAACATGTTTTAAATATGTTTCCTTCACATTGTTATAAACGTATGCATATTTTTAAAGCATTTTTCGCACATGTAAAGGCATCGTAAACAAAATGGCTTTATCATGAACAAAGGATTGTAATTCGTATATAAAATTGAGCATCAAATATTATAACACAATAAGATTATCAAGTGTGATTATTTAATCCGTCAATTTTAATTCGTGAGCATCAAACATGAAGACATTGAGCTAATATGGTTGATTCTTTTAGACTTTCGCATATTTGTGAACCACATAATAAATGAGTTATAGCTAGAAAATGAAAGTTTGGTGAATGATGTAAGCTTAATTAATATCATTAACGATCCAAGTTATACACAACCATTTATCTTTTAAAATATTGTATTCTCTATAAAACATAAATTGTCATTAAGAAGAAAAATTATGGTTTAACAAAACAAGTAACCATCAATTACATGGCCATTGTTCATTTAACTTGTTCAATACGAACTTGAATTTTTCTACAAATAATGTGATTAATTAAAAGAAAAGATAAGTTTATATATGAAACAATCACTTACATTTTTCCATAAACAGAAGAACTAAAAACAAAACCAAAAATTGGAATTGCAAATTTGTGTTATTACATTTGTTATAATCAAGTAAAATTGCCAAATTCACCAACATAAAGAAAATATGATGTTGCCAAATGCCAATGGCCCAATCCAATTAATTATTTATCCATGTAATAACATGTAGTATATATCTAAGTTAAAGAATGATTTTCCTACGTGTATTTTTCTGTTAAATTTACAAATAAACTTAAGTCCTTTGTTCAAAATGGCCTCTTGAGGTTCTTGAAATCCATAGATTCAATACAATCCACTCTTCCTCTATGCACATTCATTCCCTTCAACAAATCACCAGATTTCTCCTTCGTTTTCACAGAAGAACCAACCTGCAACAGCAACAAAAGCTTCTGAAAAGCTCCCACTTGAAGTGCTTCAATGGCGACACTTTCCTCTACCCCTTTACTCTTCTCATATCTACTCAGCATCCAAAGAATCGAAACCGAAAACTCAGTCGCCATGTCAGAAACACGAAGCAGTTTCTTCACCAACACTTGAACTGTCAACGCATTGCTGTAAGCCTTCTCAAGCCCTTCGTCAATGCTGCAAAGACCTTCGAGTACACCCAAGGACTTTTCACAAACACCTCGTGAGCAGTCTACAAGCATTTCTAGAAGCTTATCGATTATACCCATGTTGACGAATGTTGAGATTAGGGTTTTCTTGTGGTCAAAAGAAGTTGATGGAGTGACTAAATGGTAAATCGCTAACAATGATGCATTAGTTGTCGTAGGACAAATTGGCTCCTTGATGAGCTTCGCTAAAGCTTCGATACTTCCTTCAATCTCTGTGAATTCATGTAGCTTTGTTTGATCGGATGAAAGAATCTCTTTCAGTATCAAAACAGCATTCCTTCTTCCCGATAAAGTTCCAACCTTTAGAATCCATACAACGGTGCTTAAACATTGGTTCGAACCAAGATAAGATTTTGTATCTTGATCGAAAGGAAGAAGCAAGGTTAAACCAGACAAGATTTCTTCCAAAACTGATGCGTTTTCTTGATTCTTGTAGGAAGAAAACATCTCGAATGTCTCCGATAATATTCTTGCTGACCCATTTGCAACAATGCACCTCTTGTTTCTCTCACTCTCTTTCGCTAAATCTTTCATCTTCACCACCAACTCCATGACACCTTCTGCATTCCCCTTCGCTCTCATGTCCACAATCTTGGAAAGAATATCGGAAACTTGATACGAGTTCGCCGGAGCTCGAGGAGTTGGGATCCGATCAAACCCATATAACTTATTCTCAACGCACCAGTTTTGTATCATCTTTCTGAGAGTGTGATTAGGTACAGGGTCGAGGGTCGTCAAGCTTACGCCGGTGACCGGACATGTGTGCTTCTCATCTTCATATATCCATTTCTCTACACTTTCTCTATCGTAAGTGATCCCTGTTGACAACGTCACCGGATCTTTCATCAACTCCAGGGATATCGGACACCGGAAATGCTCCGGTATGGTGACCTCGACATCAACATCCACCAATTTGGAGCCTTTCTTGATCTTGTTAGCGTTTCTTGCTGCTCTCCGGCTTCTATAGGCAGAAATCATTGTTGGGTGTTCTTGATTAGGTAAAAAGATTCAAAAAGAGTTGAAAATCAATTGTATTTTGTGATGTTTTATGGAAATCTGAGTTGGGTTTTTTGTTAATTTTGGTAAGGAATGATGAAGAAGCGAAGGAGGTGTTGTGATGTATATATAAAGAAGACATGCAAACGCGGAAATCAAAGTTTGAAAAGTTGTTGTGATGATGATAGAAATTCGATTGAAAATAATATGAGACAAAGAACGAGTAATCCATGTAATAAATAATATAGAATAAGATTGAAGGGGGAAGCGATAGTTGAATGTTGACCATTTTGAAAGCATGAAAATTTGAAGTTTGAAACTGCGGATTAGAAATAGTCGAAGTATGAAGGGAAAGAAGCAGTCAACGGTTGATGGTCTAAGAAGGGTCGGTGGGTCATTATAATTTTTATATTTTTTGGTATGATTTTGTAAAGAAAAAATCACCAAAAAAATACCAAAAATGGGGAAGATTCTAAATAAAGAATCATTTTTTTAAATCTTGATATAAGTGATCACAATTAATGAAATGTAACCACTATAGTATTACTTTTTCCTGTGAAATTATTTTTCATCTACAACAAAAAACTTAAAAAAAAAATTATTTATTTTGCAATAATATATATAATTTCTAAACATATCAAGAATAATTACACAACAATTTATTTTTCTCTAAAATAAATTCAAAATACTTCAATATTTTTATTTGTATGCCTTCTCAAAATAATTTGCATAAAAAATTGTAGTAGTTCTATTGAAAAAGATATTGTCGTTTGTTTGAAAAATCAGAAAGATAGTTATTTTGTGAAAACAAAAAAACTGATTATGATAGTTTTTATTTTATCGTTTGTAGAAGATTGTCAAGATTCTTTTTATTTATGATATAATTGATGTATTCCTTAGTTTGTGAATGGTCTTGATAGATATTTTCTCAAATTTGTATAATGTTTTAATTTTTTAAAATATTAATTATATAAGTATTTTATCCTAGAAATTTAATAAGAAAAAGCCTGGTTTCTTGATTCCTGACACCAATTTTGGGGTAAAAGGGGCGTGTAAACAAGGTCTACCTATTACCTGTAGTTATGTTGTCCTCCGCATTTTGCGCGTGATTTCTATTTTGGCCCTTCGCCTAAGCACGCGCATGTAACGCGCATAATCAGACTACTATACATAAATTTGATTTTTAAAATGGAAGAATCACATAAATGAATAGATTTTTAAGAAAAAAAAAAATCAATAACTGTTTCAAATAGTTATATACTCGTAACAGCGATCAAATTACAAAATGCATTTATGCAGTGAAACAACGTTGCTTTGGCTAAAAAATATTCTGCAAAGGCATTCGTGTAAAGTTTAAAGTATGTCTCGCTAGTTTCTTACAAAATTTAGAGTAATATTATTTCGATAGGCATTGTGAAATGTCCAATTTCTTTGTGATTTTTTTTTCTTTTTTGGCTATAAAAGTTGTAAAAGTTTCATGAGAAATTACTGATAAAGTCTCAATATTTTCGGTCAGTTTATTGTTTAATCTTAACTTCTATTTTTTGAACAAAAAAATGTCTATTATTTTATATTTTGTCCAAATGAACGAGACAATCATTATTTTTTCAATAAAAAATAATAGATTATCGTATAAAATTAGATAATTTGGACTTTTCTGTTTAAAAATTAAATGAAGAATTTCGTATATACCCTCATTAAACGTAAAAATATCATATTTGTCCGGGCTAACACCTAAATATCAAATTTGTCATTTTTAATATTTTAAAATATCATATTTACCCAAATTAGTTTTTAAATGGTTTTTATTCATTTATAATCCTTTTTTATAATTTTAAATCACTAAAATTAAAATATAACACTTAATGGACAATAATGCCCTTGACAGGATTTAGTAAACACGATCAATTTACTTGTGGCCCTCTTCTTCACAATCGCATGTGTTAACCTCGGCGTCCTCGTCTTGCCTATCACCTCGATGTCCTCGTCTTACCTATCGTATATTCCTTCTTGAAATCAAGAATACACACCAGGTAATTGTAATTCGATGTATTCCCTTTTCCCCTCTCTCCATCTATGTTCATGATTTTGATCAATTTTCCCATTTAGACACTTGATCTTAAACTTATGTATGGTTGCTTTAATATGAATTTTCACAATTCCGTTTCCATATATGCCCATCGTTTTGACAACATAATCAACCAGGAGACTATGCTTACTACGTCTTGAATGCTTGAAACCCTTATTAATGAATCTTGAATGTTGGAATCTGAAAGTATTAGAATTTTCATCATAAACTTGTGTAATGTCGAATGCTTCAAACAAATTTATTTACACAGAGCATCTTAAAGTACAAAGGGTCTAGAATGCTTAAAGTCATTAGGAAGAACAACCCATATAAATGTCATATTTACCAAAATCAGTTTTTTAATCATTCAATACTTTATAATCGCTCAAATAAATTGAATATAATTCCTTTATGATCAATACCTTATGATCCCTCAATTACTTGAATATAATTTCTAACAACTTTAAGTAAAACAACCATCATATTTCCAATACGATTAAGAAAATGAACTCAATTGTAGCATCATCTTTTATAACAAGATTTTCTTGGGGCACTTTGATATTTATAGTGGTAGGAGGAGTGGAGGAATTACATCCAACCGAAAAGAAACGAAGAAATGGTGGTGATGGCGTGGAGATAGAACACTAGAGAGTAACAGAGAAAACATAATAAATGGGAAAAGGTGTACCGGGAGTGATAGAAGTGGGTTTCATTATTGATTTGCGGGTATGTTATGATCAATATAAGATGGAGGGAGATAGAAGCTGGTAGGGTTAAAGTGGTAGTGAGGTGATCGTGTTCATCATGACGACGAAGTAACAAACTATGAGGAAGATGGCCACAAGGAAAATAGATCTTGCTTAATAATCCTGTCATTTAGAATTTAGTAGGTAAGGACATTATTGTATGTTAACTATTTTCTTTTAATTATAATGATTTAAAACTATAAAAAGGAATTATAGATTAATAAAAATCATTTAAAAAACTGATTTGGGTAAATATGATATTTTAAAATATTAAGAAGGATAAATTTGATATTTGAATTTTAGGTTGGGCAAATATGATATTTTAACGTTTAATAAGGGCATATATGAATTTTATGTTAAGACTAAACCGTAAAATAAACCAAAATATTGAGACTTTATCGGAGATTTCTCCAGTTTCATTGTTAAAACATGTAAACTTAATTTCCATTGCTTTTTTTAATGTTTTCAAAAATGTATGTTTGTTCATCCAATAATTTTTACAAATATATATGAGTTGTAAGATCTATGATAACCATGCGGTATGGACGTATGGTCATTCCACAAGGCAAGGCACGTAAGGGTGATGTGGCAAAGAAGCTAACGTGTCAACACCGTCTCCTTGTGTTGTGATACTCTTTAAATATAGATTCATATTGACGTAAAAAATAATTTTTTTCGAAATTATATCTCATATTCATGTTGTGAATGCTCAAAATTTTAGCTCAATTTCACTATGTGAATCTACTAAAAGTTGATTATACTCAACTCAGATTCACAATGTGAATAATAGTAAGTCGGATTCACAATGTAAATTCTAAAAACTGAATTATATACAGTTTATATTCACAAAGTTAATAAATTCACTTCTGGATTTTACAAAACTTATTTATGAGTACCTAAAACATTATAAAATTATGGAGGAATATATTTCGATTCATATGTAAATTTAACTAAATTTATTCATGAATAATCAAAGAGTTGAAATACCAAGTCAGATTCACATTGTAAATATTAAAACTAAAACATTTACAGTTTATATTCACTATGTAAATCTGAACAGATCAACATGCTTTTTTGGTAATTGATGTTTATGTCTATTTATAGGGGACAAAAATTATAAATTTTGGTATATTTAGTTTTTTTTTGGGATAAAAAATAAAGCTAAAAATAGAAAAAAAAACAACAAAACGAAGTAGGTTTTTTTTCGGAAAATATGTTTGTTTTTATATATCAACATAAATCTCTATGTAAAGAGGATAAAAAATTATGAATTTTGGTATTTCGCTTTTTTTCCAATAAAAAACACGGCTAAAAAAATTAAACGCAAAAAGGAGGTGAGTTTTTGATATAATTTGATGCATGTGCGTACAATGTATAAAGCTACAACCATTCTTTTGGTCGTTGATCATTATGATTTCTGACGTTCACGATTAGTTTCTTGTTTCAGTGTTCACAATGATTCTTTATTGAATCTCATTATATATATATATATATATATATATATATATATATATACACACACACACATACATATATACATACATAAATACACACACACACACACACATATATATATATATATATATATATATATATATATATAATATTTTTATTATTTCACCATAAATTTGCATTTATTATCATTTGAGATCGTTTATGACCATTGATGACTAGTTAGTTGATCTATTAGAATTTTACTACACACTTCGGAATCACATTGATCTTTTATATACGAGGCAAGTGAAATGCCTTTGCTACAAATTAGGTATTACTTTGTTGTTATTTCTCTGTTATATCCTATAAACTATGGAGCAAACTTTGAAGATGGTGTTCTTTGTCACATTATTGTTTTCTACCTCTGGTTCGTTTTCGGAACTATAATCTAACATTATCATGATGTTCCTTATTTATATTTGATGAATTATGCTTTGTAGGAATATTTAACACATCTATTATGGCTGACAAAGCTTCGTTAGTGGATCAGTTAGAGCCTCCGCAAAGGTGTGTTAACGATGGTAGTTGCGTAATGTATTGCCGAATTGGGAAACCAACTTGTTGTAAAACGTATTGTCAATGTCTCCCATGTTGAGAATTCTAATAATCATATCATCATATCATACATACTTATAAAGCTAACATTTTTTCTTGAATCTCATGCATTTGAAACC